TGACATCTGGTGAAAATTTCGTCATTAGCACCTCTAGTAAAATACAGTATTTACTGAGAAAAATGGTGACGTGTTCAATACTTATTTTACCCGCTGCATCTAAGCAAATAAACTTGTCACAGTTGGCAGGAGGTTTATTCCTAAGCGTGAAGAGGGTACTTGATGAGCTCAAAAATCAAATATATTTATCAAAACAAAACAAAAGGCAGTTGTGGCAGCAAGCAAAACTCACAAAATCCAAAGCAGCACAAAGAAGCACATGAGCTACCGAGAAAACTGTAACGTGACAGAACAACAATTGTAGCTCTGCTGATGTGGATAAAAAGATGGGCTGATGAGGAAGTGGGGAACCCTGAGCTGAATGCTAATTGGGAACAGATGGGAGTGGGCGTGGCAGACTGGGTGGACCTGGGAGTGAATGTTGTTGCAGAGGAACACAGGAGGCAAAAACAAGCAGCAAAACTAAACCCAAACATATAAAACATTAAATAAAGCTAAACATAAAACACAGAACTCTACAATCCAAAACTCGTAAAAAAGGTTTATTGTCATATATTTCAGCCATGCAGCATTCATGAAGAAAATTTCTATGGATCAGTTTGTATTTTATTATTGTATGTTTGTGTTTTCATGGAGAGAATAAAAAAAGATCATTCAAGTTGAATACTATCATGAGAGGACTGCACTAAATTACAGAAGCTGAGAGCGGATGTTTTCTGCAGTTTTTCCTCATGGCTTTCTTGATACATATTGTCATTAATATGCAACAACGATGAGCGTTTTCTCGAGGTAACGAGTTAATTTCCTGATGGTTTTATTGAGATAAGGAGTTAATTTCCTGATGTTTTTCTTGAAAAAACGAGTATGGATTTCTGTCTCCATGGTTACTGAATGATGCACAAAGATGAAAAACTCATTATTTTGAGAAAATCTTCGGAAAATTACCTCGTTATCTCAAGAAAACACTCGATATTGTTATTTTGTGATGACAACATAATCTGTCGTTATCACGAGAAAACCATGTAAAAAATATATGCAGAAAACGTTCGCTCTCAGTGTCCGTACTAAAGACAGTGACAGGAAGACAAASGATAAAACTATTTTACATTTAAAATGTGACATTTAGGGCCAGATAAAGTGTTAACGAGGGCCATATTGGGCCCTCGGGCCTTGAGTTTGACACATGGGGTGTAAGTCATAATCAGGATTTCCTGCACTCAGTTTCATTTCCCATTTGATTTTCAACTAAACTGAAGGTTCTTTAAGAACTTCAATAAAAGTTTTATGAAAAAGAAACTTCAATTTAATTCAGTTCAGTTTATTTATATAGCACCAAATCACAATTGTTGTCTCAGGGCACTGTACATAAAAAACAATGAATTTAAAGAAGCCAGCAGACTTTGTCGAAGATCTTGTTGCCAAGCCAAAATCTTTATTGGAAATTGAAAAAAAAAACCAACCTGAGGGTAGAGGAACATCAGAAAATAGGTGTGTTAGATTTTAAATAGCCACATTGGAAGTACCTGAATRGGTCAGAGGGTTGTAAGTTAAAAAMTAGACAGATAAATCAGATAATGTACCAWCAATATAGGTATCAGCAAATGTACAAATACTATGTTTGTTCCATGTAGTGAATCTGAAACTATTTTTAACATTTGTGAAGAAGTTGTCAATAATCAATGTATAATTGTTGTCATATTTTCTAGGATTAAAAGCATGTTATTGTGGTTTCARTTTCCTAAATACTTTGGTTTAAAACTTTTAAAGTAGAAAAACTGACCATGACTATAATCTCAGTTGTCACGATTGGATTTTTAAAAAGAAATAGTCTTCTGTATGTTGTCTGCAGAACACTAAACTTGACCAGACCTATTTTTTTGCGTTGCACGTCCCACTTTCCAAACATGGACTTCAGACAAGGTTGTTAAGCTTGAGTGAGCTTCAAACAGACAGATGGATGAAACCTTTATTCATTTCTTTGTCCATCTGTCATTCACATGCTCCTTTCATGGACTATGTGGATCAGATTTGGCCACAGAGGGAGTAATGATGCATCCCACCATCACCACCACATTCAGGCTTTTTGAATTTAAAGGGAAAAAAGTCATAATTAAGAGTTAAAGAAACTGCCAAATATAAAACTTGGCCAGAAAAGGATCTTTTAGCCAGTTTTCAAGTAAGCACAACCAGGTTYGTTATTTTTTAAAGCTGTGTACTTTGCAGGTCTGATGTGTTTATCTGCTCCCCCTTTTTTTTAATAAAAAGCTGAACATTTCCAYCAGTTCCACTCTTTACTTGTATACGTGGTTTGTCATGTCTGTCCCCCCCACATCCCCGCCACATCTCGGGAACAAAACAAGCCTCCTCCCTCTGTCTGTTTGGCGCTGAGGTAAGCTGTCTTGTTTGTGCTGTGATGCAGTCGACTTGCTGATGTAACTGAATGTTTGTTGCCGGGGTCTCCTGAGAGAGACACGTCGTCTCGTCTGAATCATCAGGCTCGTCAGTCACAGAAGAGGCCCAGTGTGTTTTGATTTATAGTGATTCGGGAACCGTGGAGAGGCTGTGATCATAAATAAGAGAAATAGGTGGGAGGTAGATTGGTACTAAATTGAGTTTTTATGATAAATATGAACACTTTTTAAAAAGTTTTAATGTTGTTGAGCTCACAGTGGCTGGTATTTAAGTACTTCTTTGACTTTTTAATGAAAAAAAACACTGACGTTTTCCACATATTACCTCACCTCCATCAGTACAGTTTTAGTTTGGACAATAATCAAATCTTTACTCTTCCTTTTTGCTCAGTCTTGAATGATTCTATCAGATCTGCTGAAGCCATGCCTGCCATCGTCAACCTCCTGTTCAATGTGGTCTCCACCAACACCACCATCTCCTTCAACGTGGTGTTGCCCATGGTGAGCCTGATCTCCCTGTTCGTGGGGGTCGGAGGTCACCTCCTGCTGTGGCTGGTGCTGATGAAGAATCCGCGCAGTCGCTCCAAGCCGAGCTCCGTCCTGCTCCTCAACCTCAGCCTGGCAGACCTGGGTGCCCTGCTCACCCTGCCCTGCGTGCTTCTGAGCGCTAGCTTCCAGAACTGGCAGCTAGGTGGAGAGACCTGTGTTCTCCTTGGGTTCGTGACTTCAATAACCGCAGGCGTGGAGATCTTCAGCCTGGCTGCCTTGGCGGTGCTGAGGTACCGTATCGTGGCACCACGGACGAGAACACCCGCTAGTCAGACTCAAGTGTGAGTATTAAATGTCAAGCAGACTTTATAAGAAAAAGAACATTCTTATRAAACCTGTAAAATACTGTGATTTATACCATACTTTTTTAAAACTGATTTGTCCTCAAAGACTGACCCAGAGCGAGTGATGAATTAAGATGAAGAAATTGCAGTTGGTATGTTCGGACCTTATTTGGCAGTTTCATTGCAAATTAGCCTGGTAAAAACCAGATCCTTGTCCTTCACTTTGCTTCATACGAGGGTCTGGACTCGTGGCTATAGAAAAGCGATTCTTGCTGGAGGCGTGGCCTCTGCTGAAGTGTCGCTGTTAGGGAGGCTAAGCTAAGAAGCTAACCGGAAATCACGTGTGTTGTAAACAACCCTACTGAGAGGAGAAAAGTACCGAGGAGAAAAGTACCGAGCA